TCTGTCACCCTGTCTCTGTTTCTGACTCCGTGTGTGTGTGTGTGTGTGTGTGTCTGACTCCCTCTGTCACTCCGTCTCTCTGTGTGTCTCTGACACCCTCTGTCACATGCACTCTGTGTGTGTGTGTGTCCCTCTGTCACCCTGTCTCTCTGTTTCTGACTCCGTGTGTGTGTGTCTGACTCCCTCTGTCGCTGTCTCTGTGTGTGTCTCTGACTCCCTCTGTCCATCTGTTGCTCTCTCACACTCCAGTGGGAACCCAGTTTGGCAGCTTACTGACCGATTTGTGCTTCCTCCTTCCCCTTCACAGCATCTTGGGCAGATTCCATAAAGTCAGTTTTGATCATTAAAACCAGTGTAGAAATAATCACAAGACCCACTCACATTGCCATTGAATCAGAACCAAGTCAGAACTGACCAGTGGGTTTTCAGAGGCCGTAAAACGCACGGGAGGAGACTGATCATCTTTCTTTCGGGGAGCCACTGGTGGATTCAACCCAGCCGAGAGGTGCCCCACCTGGTTTAACCGTGCAGCTCCCTATAGCGAGGCCGCCAGAGCTCTCCGATCACAGGAGCAACTTTAATAAAAATCAGCTTAATAAGCTGCAAAGCTCCAGGTGTGTATCTCACGCTTTCCTCCTGGCCTCCTTTAACCTGGTCACAGCTGGGACCGGGGCTGCTGGGGTTGAAGTTCTGTGGTCTGGGAAATGGAAATTGAAGAGAGAAATGCACTTTCAGGAGGTCAGAAACGCTTAGAGACATTAATGATAGCTCCCAGTGCGGCTGTGGCCTCTGCAAAGGGCAAGTGGACAGTCCCCGTCAACACAGGGTGAATGGCCCTGCTGTCTTGGCAATTCTACTTCTAGAAATAAGACATTATCAGGATACAAAGGGATGTAAAGAGCCAGGAGCAACCTGAGGTGAGAGACAGGGATGTTCACAGCCTTGAAAGAGAGCAAGTCTGTACGTCCCAGCGTGGAAGGATGTCCAGGATGTCTGTCTCACTGCTGTGGAGTCAGATCTGACCATCCATGACCCTCCAGTGAGTGTCCAAAGCTACAGACGGTCCAAGAGGAGGCTTCTCCCTTGGTGCAGCTGGTGGATATGAATTGCCAGAGAAGTGTGGCCTGTGGGTTAGTCAGCACCACGACTCGACAGATGTCACTACCAGGGCGCCCTCCTCCGAGACTGCAGGTCTACAGTCAGCCTGTGCGCATGTCTCCAGAGCGCCCTCCTCCGAGACTGCAGACTTGCAAAGTCAGCCTGTGCGCATGGCACTTATGTGCAAGCCAGTGTAGTGTAAAGGCAATGGACACAGACTGCAAGGCCAGAATACCTGAGTTCTAATCCTGACTCTACCACTGACAAGTGACGTGACCTCAGGCCACTCCAGCTTGTTCTATCCTGGTGTCCCGTCATAACGAGAAAGGAGGGAATCATTTAGAAGAGTGCCCGGCACGCAGCTGGAGCTGTGGATGAGTTAGGTCAACACTACGATCGTTGGGTGTCCCCTGAAGTTTGGGGGTCGTGGTGAGTGAGACCCCATCCTTCGGTATTTCTCTCAACCGGAGGAGAGTCTGCATTACTGCCTAGTTTTAAGAATGGTGTTAAAAGAGGTTTGGGGCGGGGGGAATGGAGAGCAAAAAAGAGTCCTTCTCTTCTGGAAATGATTAGTTTATGAGAAAGGGAGTCCAGAAAGCCTTCTTGAAGATTTAACGGGGCCATCGGTTGAAGCTGCCCCCTCAATGGGAAGGCTCCCTGACACACTTTGAGGGTGCCGTGACTTCGCAGTGTCTGGGATACACCAGGGAAATCTCTCCCTTTAGGATACAGGGAATGGCATGTACGGACTCACCTGAAAGCTGCTCGAATTACTCACTGTCCCAGATGGGAAACAGCCCTGGCTTCTGCCATGCCCTCAGGAGACCCATCCCAGCGTTCTCAGACTCCGGCCTCCACTGTCTCTCTACTCCAGTCCCATGGTCCCCGTGCACCTGGACTTCCCCTTCCACTGCCACCTCCCCCAAATCTACTTAGGTCTCCCTTCCTGGAAGCTCTTGACCAGCTCTGACCCCGACACCCCTCCATGGGCGCCCATCTCTCCCTGGGCTGTGGCCTCTCTCAGCCATCTCTGGACAAGTCTGGGGGCCTGGGAAGGAGCTTACCTGGAAGGCTTGGTGTTGGGTTCCTTGACGAAGGAGGGCAGTGCAAAGAGGAAGAAAATTAAGACCGCCAAAAGCAAGGGCCACTGGGCAGGCTGGCCGAGGGGCCAGGGTCTCCTGGGGCAGAACCTCATGGCGGCGGGTACAGCCGTGCGGGCAGCTTCTGGAGGCAGCTTCTGCACCCTGGCCGCTGATGCTGCCGCAGACAGTCCTATCTCGCCGTCCAGGCCGGGCGTGCACCCTTTGCACTCTGTCTCCTCTGTGAGGTGACTGCTGCTCTATTGGTCCTGCCAGAGAGAGAGGGAGCGCCTTCACCACTGGAGGAAGGCTTAAAGGCTGGCATGCACTGAAGGAAGAGAAACTTTTGTCCAAACAAGTTCACTTCCTTTCCTTTGTTTTAGAAGCCACTTTCTGAATGTAGAACTTTCTAAGAGAGATATACACATTATCGGAAACCGCACCTTGGTCAGGTTCCAAACATTTGGGGATCCTGGACAAGGGTGTACTCTGGAAGAGGGGTGCACTGCCCCCATGTGCCACCTGAGCTTTATAAGAAAACTGCAGGGACCCCACTTGGGCCTACAATTCCCACCAGCACTCCCCTCCAGGACCCTCGGCCCCTTAGCCTGGCTGTGACGGGAGCCCAGCCCAAGAGCAGTCTGGACCCTTGCTGGGCAGTGAATGCTCCGGTGGACACCCTGAGCCTGCAGTTTCTGCTGTCCTGACTGCTATGGCTTGTTTCCCAGCAGGCTTTGTGGGAACACCTCACCTGCAGAGCGCTGAGGGAGGAGGGAGAGGGCAGCTCCCCTTCATGGGTGCACGTTAGATGCAGCAGGGACCTTTAAGTCCTTGGGGGCTCAGGTCGCATCCCAGCCCATTCAAGCAGGGTCTCTGTGGGGTGGGGCGCCACAGGCGACCCCTGTGTGCAGCAAGGGTGGGGGTGTGGGAACCACTGACCACCCCACCTCCTGGTCAAACAGCATGAACCCACTTGAGCGCGGAGAGCTGCAGATGAACGCTTGCCCGTGGTCCGAGCACCACGCAGAACCAGCGCGAACACGCGTGACTGTGGGAAACGCCCAGGACTCCACTCGGGATGGCCTCGGGCTCTGAGCTCATGAGGAAGGTGCCTGGGGGATGGGACCACCTCCCTGCTCCCACCTGAGATCATGGCCGTCAGAGCCCACGGATGTGGAAGCCTCGAGTGGGTGAGGGGGCTCCCACCGCCCCAAGCCACAGCTCAGGGTACTGCCTCTGAGCACAGACTGCGTGTGCCCGTGTGTGCCCGGTTCCAGAATGACTCATCCCACCTGAGAGGCAACAGGGCTTGGAGAAACTGCTAAGGCCGCTGGGAAATAAGGGGGACAGGACACCACCGAGGTCAGTGGGAAGGACACGGGAGCATTCAGACCAACACCCTCCAGAAAGCGCGCTGGGTGTTCGTTGTTTGTTTTGTTTTTGTTTTTAGAAAGGAAGTTAAAGAAGCTTTATTAAGGGGTCTTCCGGGCGGGATTCCTTGGTCTGCAGAGAGAGAGACAGGCAGAGGGACAGACCAGGGAAGTACCGCACCCTAAGATAGAGTAGGGCGGGTAAGGGTCTTTAGGGAGGGACATTCCATTGTGGTTTAGCCAGGTGGCTGGTCTTCTTGGGTATTCGTTTTTAAGAACATTGCTTCCATAGCTGAACCACGCAGGTGTTTTCAAGCGGGGGTGGGGGGGTGGGGGGGATGTAGAGGTGCAGCTTCCCTAGGGAGAGAGCAGGGCTTGAAGGTCTGGGGACCTGGATCGGTTGTCTGACTTGGCAACATGTTTACCCGATGTCCTTGGTCTTTACCCAAGACGCGTACCAATAACAACCTAAGTGCCACTCACCCAGGCAGCTGAGATAAGAGTTTATCTCGATTACACAGTAGTGTATGGTTGGAACCTATAGCCATACCCCCTGGCTATAACCCACAGCTGTACCCCCAGGCTGGAACCCACAGCTGTACCCCCTGGCTGTAACCTAAGGCTGTAATGCATGGCCCTGCCCAGTGAGCAGATGGGCAGAGAGGAGCAGGGAGGTCTCTCAGTACTGATCTCTCTTTTTCCGATCACGCCTAACCTATAAAGTTCTTGGTAAACATTACCCATGTGGAGTTATTACTGCCCTGAGCCCTTGCTTCTGCATCCTTGATGGTGCCGTTTCCCGCCCTGGTGCCTGGCTGCAACGCTGAGCAAAGGATGTGTGTGGTGGGCTGGACACTTTCTTACCTACAGAGTTGGTTTGGCTCAAAGAGGTGTTCCTGATGTGTCACCTGGCCTTCTGAGGAGGCTCTGGCTGTTCTCTCTGCTTTCCAAGGCACAGTGACGATGAGGTGTAGACCCAGGTGGAGGCTGAGCTGCCACAGACAATCAGTGCCTCTCACCAGCTGAGCTCAGAGAGAGGAACTCTCTGCCTCTCACCAGCTGAACTCAGAGAGGGGAACGCAGAGCTCAGGTTTCCTGGTTCCCAGGTGCCTAACGTGGCTGAGGGAGGTGTGTCTGCAGTTTTTGTAACCACACTCACCAAGAACTTGCCCCTTTTTCATGCATCAGCCACCAGGGAGCTCAGGATCAGAGCTGCTGCCAAATGAGCTCGCCATGGAGAGACGAGTAGTATGAAGGCAGTTTTCAGAAGCAGGTAAAATCGTAACTCTCACACAGACAGCTGTGTGGGATTACTGTATTTGCACTGCAATCTCAAAGGCACACAGTTCAAATCCACCCGCTGCTCTGTGGGAAAAAGATGGGCAATGTCTTCCCCAGTGATTAACTGCCTCTGAAAACCTGCTAGAGTGTCAGCTATGGGTTGGTTCTGACTCAACGGTGTACAACAACATGAGAAAAGTAGTCAGATGTTATAACCGGTTCAAAAGATGAGTGCTGATGCCCAGTTAACAGGGAGCAAAGGCATCGTAGGAGCCCTGGTGGTGCAGTGGTTAAGTCACTCGCCACTCACCCAGAAAGCTGGCAGTTGAAATTCATCAGTCGCTCTTAGGAGAAAGCCGTGGCAATCTGCTTCTATAGAGACCTACAGACTTGAGGATGTTATGGGGAAAATACTACTCTGTCACTCAGTTGACTTCTCCAAGGCAGTGGGGTTGGGTTTAAAGGCATCTCTTTAAAAAAATTATTAATTTTAATGAAAGTTTACAGAGACTTAGGGTTTCCAGTCAGTCATAGTTGCACTTTGCTCCCTGCCCACGCCCTCCCCCCAATTCATTTTTCTCCCTGAGGAGTAAAAGGAAAACTCGTTCATTGCTATGTGATCCCTGCCCCCCCCCCCAAGTCCACTGCACTGTGCAGCCTTCATCCTGGACTCCTGTCAGGACAATGATACCTAATCATATAGCCCTTTTAAACAGTTCTCTCCCTCATCTGTTGCAATGCAGTATACATCATTCCTCCCCTTCTCTGTCTTCCCTCAACCCCAATGTCAGTCCTGTTTTATAATAGTGGCACTATGCAATATTTGTCCTTTTGTAACAGATATTTCACTCAGCATAACGTCCACTAGGGTCACCCACTTAGCATACTATTTCATGAGTTCCTTGTTTTTCAGTGCTGTATAGTATTCCACTGCGTGAATATACCAGAGCTTCTCTATCCATTCATTTGTTGATGGACACTTGGGTTGTTTCCAGCTAAAGGCATCTTAAAAAGTGAATTTCAAACAAGGTCCAAAGTAGGTTTCCCACAGGGAGGAATGCAACACTCAGACCCCTCCCACCCTGTGCAGAATCTGCATGTCTGTCGACAACGTACACTTTAGAGAGTCATCAAACAGCTCCAAATCAATGGAGGCCAAACCAGCCATACTGGAGGAGTCTCTCCAGACCTACCATCTTCAATGAACTTCTCTGAGCAACAGAATTTCTACTTAGAGATTGTGCTTTCGAATCACTCCAGGACTGATTTTCTTTGAAAATGTCAGCCCCTGGATCCCCCAACTGCAAGACACATTTGATGACCTGAACGATGCTGGATTCAGTGGGAAAAGGTGCATCTTTGAGGATGTTCACTTGATGGAGAGGGTGGATACTGCTTCAGTGTCCCATGAGGGCACTGTCTCCTCTAATTCTCTTTTCAATACCAAGCTCACTCTTGGCTCTTTAAAAATGGATGTATTGACATAGAACTTACACGTTCTATAGCACAAACCCCACAGCCCACAGTGTAAATTGCACGTCAACATCACAGAAATGAAAGTCCTTACAACTAGATCAACAGGCAACGTCGTGGGAAGTGGAGAAGAGATTGTCAAGGATTTCATTTTATCTGGATCCATAAAACATGCATGGAAGCAACAGTCTATAAATCAAACGCCGTATTATATTGGGCAAAGCTGCTGCGAAGGGCCTCTTTAAAGGCTAAGAGCAAGGGTGTCTCTTTCCAGACTAAGTTATGCCTGACCCAAGTAATGGTATTTTCAGTTGCTACATATGCATGTGGAAGTAAGGAAGATTGAATTGTGGTGTTGATGAAGAGTACTGAAGACACTACAGACTGAAAAAAAGAACAAATCTGTTCTGGAAAGAGTGCAGCCAGAGTGTTCCTTAGAGGTGGGGCATGCTATCAGGAAGGACCAATCTGTGGAAGAGGACATCATCCTTCGAAAAGTAAAGGGTCAGAGAAAAACAGAAAACCTTCATAAATGGTTGACACCGCGGCTGCAGCAAAGGGCTCCAACACAGGCTGCAGCATAGATTATGAAGGTAACACAGGACCAGGCAGTGTTTGCTCTGTTGTAGATAAGGTCGTTCTGAGTCATGACGGACCTAACAATACCTAACCACCACCACACACAGAACGGAGTGTTTTGTGACTGACTTCTTTCACTTAGCATAATATTTTCAAAGTGTACCCATGTTGTAATATGTCTCTGAGCTTCATTCTTTTTTATTATTGGATAATAAAAATATTCCACAGTATGTATATACTGTTAAATCAGGCTGCTCCTTGGAGGCAAGGATTCTGGGGCTTCGTCTGACGTACTTTGGACATGTTGTAAGGAGGGACAGGTCCTTGGAGAGGGACATCATGCTTGGGAGGGTGGAGGGACAGCACAAGAGGGGAAGGCCCTCTATGAGGTAGATTGACTCAGTGACTGGGGTAATCGGGATGGGTGTGTCAGAGGCAGTGTGATTGGCATAGAATAGAGCAGGGTTTAGGGCTGTTGTACATAGGGTCGCTATGAGTCGCAAGCGACTCGACGGCATATAACAACAACAACAAATGACTATGAGATATCATCTCACCCCAGTCAAAATAGCAAAATTTAACAGAACAGCAAGCAATAAATGCTGGCGAGGTTGTGGAGAAACTGGAACCCTTATTCACTGTTGGTGGGCGTGTATAATGGTGCAACCCCTGTGGAAAGCAGTATGGCGCTTTCTCAAAAAGTTGCAAATAGAGATACCATTTGACCCCGCAATACCACTACTGGGAATATACCCAGAAGAGACCATAACTGACACCCAAGCAGATATATGCACACCCATGTTTATTGCAGCTTTGTTCACAATAGCAAGGAGTTGGAAAAAACCTAAGTGCCCATCAACAAACGAATGGCTAGAGAAGCTGTGGTATATTCACACAATGGAATACTATGCTGCATTAAAAAACAAGGAACTCATGCAATATTACTCAAAATGGTTGACTCTGGAGAACATTACGCTGAGTGAAATGTCCCAGTCACAAAGGGACAAATATTGCATGGTGCCACTGTTGTAGAATGGGACTGTCCTTGGGGTTGGGGAGAGACTGAGTAAGAGGGGTTCAATAATGTATGCTGCTCTGAAACAGAGAAGGGAGAAAACTGTTTAAAAGAGATATGTGATTAGGTATTTCGGTCATGACAGGAGTCTAGAGCGATGGCTACATGGTGGAGTGGACCTGGGGGAGGGTTTGTAAAATAATGAAAGAATCTTTTCTTTTGCTTTTCCAAGAGGGTAATGTCTGGTGGGGGGGAGCCTTGGGAGGGGACAAATCTACAACAATGAATGAATGGAAATCCAAAGCCTCTGTAAATTTTCACTGAAATTAATAACAAATTTAAATTTAAAAAAAAAGAATTAAGTTAGAGTAAGGATGGCAATGGAACCACCTTACCTCTGTAACCTGATTTGTGCCATTATTAGAACCTCTACTC